GTGTGCTTAGGAGAAAATATACAGCAAAACAAATGTTATTGCTTTTTCACTGACATATTTACACATGTGGAAAAGATGTAACCAGTGTCCTAATTTTTGCCAAAAACTCGACCATATAAGAGCTGGCACCTGCACACATTAACACACTGTTAGAATTAGTGTCTTTTTGGTAGAACAATGATGCTTGAAATTCATTGTAGATACACATTAATAAACTATAGAAGATGATGTTAAGATAAAGATGTTTGTCCTGACTTTAGATGTTCTGTGAAAACTGGTTCTAGAGTTCAAGCTGAAATGCTTGAACACCATTGTTATGTGTCTTCCCCTCTCTCTCTCTCTCCGCCTTCTTGTCTATCTTCAGTATTGCTATCCAATAAAGACAAAATGCCACAAAAGTTTATATAACATAGCTATAATGTCTATTTTTTAAATCAATTTAATAAAAGAGATTCAAACTACGTAAATTTTCAATGACACCTGTTCACCAGAAGTAAATGTGCATGGGACAGAATCTACTTTCATGTGGATACACTTATGTGCTATTGAGTTCAAAGAGAACCGTAAATGAACTACAAACTCTTTGAAGCTCCTCATCTGCCTAATGTGATGTTTCAGTTTCAAATGTGCAGGGGGCACTGGAGTGTATTGAAGGAGGTCATTTGTCACCGATTCTGTGGTTATTTTTAACCGTTCCCCACGTGCAGGTCTAATCAGAACAGGATGTTCATCAGATTAACCAGGAAGTATATTTTCATGAAATGAGACTGTGTCTATGTAGGCCTTACATTGATTTAGCAGACCCACTTCAGTTGAGCAGGAAATTTAATGTTGTTTAGCGCAGATTCCGGTTGAGTTTTTTAATTCCTCCACAAAAAATATTTGTTTTTTGTGTTTGTCTGTGCATGTGTGTGTGTGAGCGAGAGAGAGAGAGAGAGAGAGAGCAGGTGGCTTTGGGGGGGAAGCTAAACCAAAAGCAAAGTCATATTTTACATAATAATCATCTCTGTGGTTTCCAATCTTGCTTCTGTGTCAGTAAAGTATTTCAGGATGGTGTAGAAACTACAGCTAAAAGTACTTTCGACTGCTCCCTTATTTCCCAAGGAACACTGCAGTGGATGAATCTGCATATTTGATTTGGTACAGATTTCCACACCGGATGCCCTTCTTGACACAACCCTCCCATTTATCCAGGCTTGGGCCCAGCAGTAGGAGTAGACTAGCTTGTGAATATGCAATCAATCAGATAAATCAGCAATAATCTGTCACACAGATGAACAGAGCTGCCATCATATCATGAAGCATAAAAGAACTGAAAACAAAAAAATAATTGTTTTACAGCCGCATGCATGATCAAATTTAAAAGACATTCTTCCTGCTGTTGTATTGTTTATGTAGTGTTTTCATTGTAGAGTATTCCAAGTTCGGTTAAAATTTCCATATTTAAGAAATGAGCAGGTAATAAAAGCTGTAATTTAGGTGTATATCATCATCACCATACAGCACACTCTCTCCCTGTTCAAAATTATTTTGAAACAAGTGACAGTTAAAAAGTCACTCCAGCTGTAATGTGCCACTTTAGATCTCATTTACATTTTACACAGTGACACATTGCATAATATCATGAAACACTGAAGATTTTCTCTTTAGGTTTATAAAAAGATACACTGGAAAGAGCCACAAAGCATTGTTGAATAAGTGCTCTTTAATACTTCAGGTCTATATATTTCCATATATTCAACAGCTGAACTGTGATACGTCTGGTTTTAGCTTCATTCAAAATACTCCACATCAAGTGAAGCCTCCAAACCTTCATGTGCTGTGTTGCTACTGAGCAGCAAATGGAATTGGAGATCTGTGTGCATCAAACTATATTAATGCTCCAGAAGAAAACAACATGGAACAAAATGAAATGAGATTCAGGAAGCACCTCCACACAAAACGCTACAGTTAGTGTGTCGGTGGCTCTGTCACAGAAGGAGAGACAACAAGCGAGAGCCTGAGACTGTTTCCCATCTGTGTGACACTCAGAGTTCCCGGGTTAGTGGCTGGTTTGTGCCGTTACGTTTCTTATTGAGCACCAACTTGCCTCGTCAGGCACGAGAGGGCTTGAGTTCTGCTTGTGTGCTGCTTCTATTTATTCATCTTTTATCTGAATCCACTCTCCCCCTCCCTATTCCTGCTTATTTTCTTTCACTCCTCCCGGTTTGTCATATTATCCACTTCCACTATCCAGTTTTCTCTCACCTCTGCATGTTTGGATCTTTTCCCTCACCTTTCTGTTTCTGCTTCCCCTCGCTCACTCCCTCCTTCTGTTTCTCTGTCTTCGTTCTCTCCTGTGTTGACAGTGTGGAAAGATGATGAATCAGACTGCATGTGACAGTCTGGCATTTGAGTGAATCTGATGTGGTTAATATGGTGCCTGCTGACAGCGCTGTGGAAATCGTCATGAGCACTCATAGACAGCTACATTTTGGCCCAACTTTGCACACTCTATTTGCGGCTAGCATGTCTGCATGGAGGGTGCACTTGTTTACTTGCATGTGTGCAACTGTGGGTGTAAATAAACATTTTTTTTCACAGTGGTCAAAGGTCGGCAGAATAAGCTGCCTTCAATTTACTCTACCTACACGAGTCATCCTTGTTCTTGCAGCTCTACCTTCAAGAGTTCAAACTCCAGTGACCTTGGAAGCCAGAAAGGCTTACTGGATGAACTCTATGTTTACACTTTTACATAAAGGAAACAAAGCATGTGCAAAACCTATTTTACACAATAGTTTGGCTATGATAACTTCCTGCCCCCCCCCCAAAAAAGGGGAGAATCTCAGAAAAAAGTCACCCCAAATTACATACATATAAAGTCACACTATTAAGCATTAGCAAGGTATTAGGAAGTGCTTAACTAATCATTTATGTATCATTGTCCTCATTACTTAGGTGTGTTACTGTTACACAATGTACAGCTATCACTGCTACTACATTACTGCTATTAAAAATCATAATCACAGTCATAATTATATTTATGTATTTATAAATGACATACTAAGGAGGAGTATTGCCATTAAATGAAATAACCACTTGCTAATAGCTTACTAATACCTTAATATAGCTTAATAGTGTGATGTAGTAGTGTTTAATATTATTCATTTTTTATTTTTATGATATTTTATGTTATTTTATTTAACTTTCTGTAGAAATTATTGCTGATTTGTATTTATTAGTATTAATAAATGTATGAATCTGTGTGTCCTAGCAACTGTGTGGGTAAAAAAAACCAGAACGTTTCCATGTGTCAGTCTTTGTGTGTGCGGGGTTACAGTGTGTGCTCAAACTGTGTTTCCTTTTGCGTGTGTAAAAACATATGGTGAGTCAGTGTGTTGGAGCCGTGTGCCTGTGTGTCTGTGGGGGGAGGAAGAGTGGATAGGTGGGGATGGAGAAAATTGAGGATTCAGGTTCTACGCCAATAGATGGCACTCTACCCTTTTTTGATTGGCTGCTGTGACCAAGACTAAGACAGGTCTCACAAGCACCATCCAAACGGAAGAGGAAGTTGGATAATAAAATGTACTTTTTCCCTCCGTGGTCTGGGTTATTTCTGCCTGCCAGCTGCTCTTAATGTAGAGAAGCTGAAATGCAGAGGGAGTAGAGTGTGATAGAGGTTTAAAGCACTATTTCACCCACACCTTGCCATGTGTTGCCTGTATACGTGTTCATGCTTGTATATTAGCTGTCTAAACATGATTGCTTGTGTACCTGTTTGCAGTGCACTCTGTGTTTGCAGTGCGATCAGCTGTAGTTTATTGTAGCATACCCCCACTCATGGAGCAGATAATACTCAGAGTGAATTACATAAATGCTTGAATGAGTCACCATAAATCATTCCTCTACCTTTTTTGTCATGACATGCTCCAATTAGTGGAAACTTGATTAGGTACACCTTATACACCTTATAGTCCCAAGTTGAACCCTGTTTTGCCTCCCAAACTGCCATAATTCTTTATGGCTTGAATTCAACAAGGTAGTGGAAACATTCCTTAGCGATCCGGTTCATACTGACACAATAGCATCGCACACTTGCTGCATATCTATTGACTGAACATCCATGATGCTAATCTTCTGATCTATGAAATTGCTTTGACACTCTGTTGGACTGAGATCTTGTAACTGTTTCATGTTCAAGAAACCCATTCAAGATGATTTGTATCTAATAATATGGCTTGTTTCTGATGGATTGAAGCCAATCAGAAGATGGGTACACTATAGTCATAAACAGATGGGCATGGTCAGCAACAAAATTATGCTCGCATGCACCTAAAGGGCCCAAAATGTGCCAAAAAATATCACCCCCAGTTTTACACCAATACCACCAGATGTCTTGTGCTTTCACAGATGCTCTTGTGATTTACTTGGTTGTTACAAGTGGCTATTTAAGTTACTGTTGCATACCTTTGCTCAAAGCAGTCTCACCATTCTCCTTTGACCTCTGAAAAGGGATTTTCATTCAGACAACTGGTACTCAATGGATATTTTCACCTTTTCGGACCATTCTCTGTAACCTCTAGAGATGATTCTGTGGAAAAATCCAATTAGATTAGCAGTTTTATAAATCCTCAGACATCCAGTCTAGCAGCAACAATCATGCTATATTTAAAGTCACTTAAGTCACCTTTCTTCCACATTCTAATGCTCAGTTTGAATGTGCCTAAACCCACTGAGTTACAGGCATGTGATTTTCTGATTTGATATTTGTGTTAATTACAGTTACTGTGCAGCACCTTAACTGCAAGATATGGTCTTCATATAATGTAGTTAAAGGAAACAAATTAAGCTATATTAAACCGTATTGAGTTTCTATTTTGTCAATAATAAGGAAATGTGTCCTATTGAGAAGAACTACATAAATTGCATATTGAAAGTTTTACAAACAACAGATTGTGTCTTACAAATCTCACAAGAGCTTCAAAGATTTTCTGACTAAACTAATAACACACAAACAAAGGTAATTTTGCCGTGTCTTTATTAAACACACAGAGTAATCATTCACGGTGCAGGCTAAAACAAAAAAGTAGATGAACCTATTTTAATGACTTCTTCAGAGGCTACTTGAAGTCAGGTGTTCCAATTAAGTTAATGCCATCTTATATGAGGTTTGTAAAGATTTCTCTCCTTATAAATAAAAACATGCTAAGTTTGGGAGCTGGTCTAAACCATCCCTGAATTGAAACAACTTTCATAGGACCATAAGTGATGTATTACATAGATGTATGAACCTGATATAAAGCTAGAAAGGCATTTATACAGAGAGGTGTTCACCAGTCCAAAACTGCCTACAAACAGGAAATTCAGGCGCTTCCCTCAAAAGAGCACACTGGGAGTATAACATGCATCATAAAAGACGTGAAAAATAGAAGAAATCTAGATAACTTGCACAGCATTTTGTTAGAGGGAATAGGCACCGCACGCCAATACTAACATAGAGCATCGCAGTTTGAGACTCTTTTCCTATTTTTAAGCCCGGGTTATTCCGTAATCACTGACGGAACAGTGAATTTGCAACTCTTAAAAGAAATGTTACAGGAAAAAAATCAGAGCAATAGTGTATGATCTAAAGGTTGGGTGTTGCAATATTAAAATTACCTGATGCAAATTAAAGCAGAATGTTTGGAAAACAAGAAAAAAGGCTTGAAATGAACCCTAACACTATGCTGTAGCGTGAACTCAGAGTTTGATAAGGTTTTATAAGGAGAAATAGTGCAAATATGTACTCTCATCTCATTGTTGTTCTGATTTCTTTTTTCAGTCTGCACTTTGAGTGATGACTCAATGTATATATAAATGCATGTTTCAATGCATATATATATATATATATATATATGTGAAAATGAGCAGGGGTCATTTATTGACAAAACATGGACATATGCACATATTATCTTTTGAAAATAAATTAATAAATAAACACAAACAAAAAGCAAGCCTTACTTGGTAACAGTGTATAAAGGAGCAAAAAGGGATCAACTAAATTCATAAAATGTAAAAATCTGTAGTCATTCAGACAGGTACAAATGGCTAATATTGTGAAGATGTGGAGATGATCATCAAGCAGAGCCATACAATAGGAGTACATACATAAATATCTCATTATATTCACAAAATATACACATAATATAACAGTATATGGCATTCACTGTCTTCTAAGGTGTGGTAAAAACTTCTAGGCAAATAAGAAAAACAGAACAAAACATTATTTGATAAAGAATCAATAAGCCATGTCTGTGGAATGACCAAAAAATAAAAATAAAAACTGCAAAGGCCAATTTGTGGCCAAAGTCACCAGAACAATAGAATTCTATTTTATATAGAGTCCGTTATCTTCTACATTCAACAACCCTAACATACACATAAAGGGTCAGAGTTCATGCATATGTGATTCTTGCAACTAGGCTTTGGGTAAATGCATACAAGTTCAGTCAGTATAGAAAAAAGGTTTCTCAGCACTGTTTAAACTGATTATTTGACTGAATATTGTTCTGCAGAGAAAATGCCCAGTCACTGCTGGAGGTGGAACAAAGTCAGTGCTCCGAGGCTCCATTGGGGTTGCACCAATAGTTCTCTGGCAGTCTGATTTCACTGGCAGTTCCACAACACAGCCTGACATACAGGGCATTAAGGGTTGAAACGTCCCATCTCTTCAGCCTCTGCCTCATAGACAGAGGGGAAGAGGGTGATGAATAAAGTAGGGAAAGAAGGAAGATACAAGGACAGTTTATAGAGACTGCCATTATTGTTACTTTAGTCTTCTAATTTACATGTGAAAAAAAATGCACAACAGCTTTTAAAATGAGCAAATCTTTGAAAATCAGTTTACAAAGATCGTAGATCACAATACACTTTATCTCAGTGTCAACTGAACAAGGATCTCAAACACAATTTACCTAGAACATCAGATTTTTCATGTAGGATACAAGACATTCTATCTTTCACAGATCTACAAACTTATTAAAACAGAACAAGCAGAACACGTCTTTGCTTAACCCTAATAAAGTGGCTAACCTAATGGCAACTGTGATCATACCATGCAGTGATGGCATACAAAACAGCTATGTATAATCCTTGGCAATATTCAAAGACCCTTCTATTAATGTATTATTATTATTATTATTATTATTATTATTAACAGATTTAAAATGCTAATTTAGAAAAAAAAAGAAAACATTTGCATCCTACCAACATTTTCTATGAAATTGATCTGAACCTTAGAGTTCAAATTGATTTATTATTGCATTTTTTGTTGCATTGCATATTGTCTTCATTTGACCTTTGCATTACTGATTATATCTGTGTTTTCACAAATGTTCATATAAGATACAATAATTACATAAAATGATTGAATACTATTAAACATGATGTTATTTCTTGTTTCAAACTAAATATTCAAAACTGAACAAGAAGATGGGGAAAAACTTCTCCACCATAAAGTTTGTTTATGTTTCATCAATATCAAACAGCCACTCAACAGACACAGACTTCAGACTTCATACAATCTTTTGGTGCTGTAGTCAGGTGTTTTTTTATTTATTTAATATGAATAATAATTATTAATACTATCAAATATTAAATAATATTATTTTTTGTGTCTTTGTCAATAAAAGCACTTTAAATCAAAACACCCTTCGTGCATGATGCATGCAATGAGGCAGTAAACACACTGGTTTAGATGTAGACACCACATATCTTGAACATGTTACCCTTTGTACTTAATTGGAAACACTGCATAATCATATGCTAATCCACATAAGTGGATTATTAATGAATATGACTTGGCATTTTGTATAATTGGTGATGATAGGTTTAATTTTCTATTTCTGCTGCTTTTTAATGAAAAACTAGAGCAATGGCTGTCATCTTGACAAATTATTGGGAACCAATGCAGGAATCATTTAACTCCAATTAAAATTATGAAAGAAAGGAGAAAAAATAAGTATTGAATAATAAAATGCTTACATTAGCATATAAAGGTTTAAATATTTTCTGTGAAAAGGGGGTTATTGCCATGCCTCGCTGTATTAAATGGTTGCAAGTAATGTCAATATTTTAGTCCAAAAATGTGGCTCAAATAAGTAGTATGCGTGGATGTTTTTAACCCTCTAGTAACTGTATGCACACGTTTTTTCTATCTGCATCTGCATGTGACACTAAATATTCAGTGCAGCCAATGAATCTGTGGAACACACCATCTAAACCCTTTGAAGATTTTTCTTCACATCCTCTATACTCCAGCAGAGGGAAATTAAGCCAATGAACCAAAAAATAGAGTGTTGGAAGGGAAAAAATGAATAGTGGAAAGTAGAGCTGGCAGTGAGAGAGTTCCTGCAATTCAGTCACTCAGTCACAATGGATGCAGTATCAGGACAAGTACACTTATTCCCTTACATGTGTTCTAAATATTGAAGCAGGAAATGTGTCATTTCAACCACAGATGCAATATCATTCTGATGTCTGGAACTGCATGTGAATTGCATGCACACAGAAAATCAATACATACAACAAAGTGGATCTTTGTGGATGCTTTAGCTCTTGCTCTCCCAAAGTAGGTCCTACCCCAGCTATTACTAATGGGTAATTTTTTTTTATATCTCAGAGATTTGAAATGAATGAAAAAGAGTGGTAGAGAGATGTAGTTTCTGTTTTAAATTATACCAGAGCATGGGGCTCTGGAGCTCATATGGCTTTGAGTTGCCTGGTCAAGTTGGCAAAAGGATCAGGTACATCTGCTCTCAAAGCACTTGCTTTCCATGCAACAAGATAAAATGAAATACAATGCACTGAGGTGGCAAAAAGAGAGCTTGGCAAGTATTTTTTTCTTTGTGTGAAAATCCAGTTTATTAAGTGATCAGATTGCTCTATGTGGTGAATCTCCCCATAAATGTTCTATCTTCTCCAGCACTAGAATCCGGCAACCTGCTTTTTTTGTTTGTTTGTTTTTTTTAAATATATTTTTGCTTTTGTCGTGTAACTTATAGACGAAGTTTAGTGGCAAACTTACTCTATATTATATTTTTAGATTATATCTGCTTTGCTGTTAGGAAGGGTTCAATGGGTTAATGCTGTAACCCATTGAACCCTTTCTTCTTTATCTTAATGTTGTAAGATAAAGAAGAAATTCTACAGGTAGCCTTGAAGCCTTTATCTGGAGTCTTTCTATACTATGTTTACTTGTATTTGCAGCCATATAAAAGTCAGTGAGCTGATATTAAATTAGAAAATATTTTATCTGAATAAGTGGATAAGCATAATATTTTTGGCAGTTCAAAAATAACTTATAACTTTTATAACTTATAGATGTGTGGCTGCCCTAGTTCTGCAGCCAGGTAAACATATCCTACAATTAATATCTGAATCTCCTGTGGTATTCTTTCTGGATTAAGGAACTAGATCTCTTCAAAATGTAAATAACAATGATTAGAGATGGGTCAGATAGAGCCAAGTGACTAAGCAGCAGTCAGTAGTAGAAGGGAATATAATGTCCAAATAGGTGGTACATCAGGTCAGGAGCATGACCAGAGTCATGGTTATCTTTTGTTTCATGTACTGTGTAACTCCAGGTTCAGACTTTTCGCTTACATCCTGAAGTGTTTAAGGGGAAGCATTTGGCACAAATAATCCGGCTTGTGTTGCAATGTGTACATAGCAGTTTTTTGTCACTTACCACCATTATTACTTACCTACATGAGTTGGCTACTTGATATGATAAATGGAGTAGGAGCATTGTAAGTAGTGCAAAACATCAAAAGAACTTAATAACTTACTTAACTGGGTTTTGCTTTTTTATGGAGAAGTGGAACTTTTTGTTTGTGCCTCTTAAATTTATATCAGATTAGCCATAACAATGAATCTAATTGCCTAGCACTGGGTTCCACTTGATCTGCAAAAGCAAATCTAACCTGTCCAGATATGGACATGGGGTGTCTGAGGCTGGGTGTCCTCTGGTGCCTGGCTTCTTTAGAGTGTATCTCCTGTGAATTTGTGGCTCATTCTGGAGAATTCCACTGATTCATCATCAGATAAGTATCTGGGAACTTTTGTCTTTGTTGTGTTCTTCACCCATTCCTGAGGAGTTTTTATATCACGGGGGTAAATTATACAGCTTGGGAAGGTTGCAGTTGTTGGGGAATGTTGTTGCAATGGTGGGGTGTGCTTAGTCGGGAACAAAGGTTAGGTAAGCAGTTCAAGTCAAAGTAAAATCCATATGAATGTCAGAGCCCAAGGTTTCCCAGAAGAGTGCTGCATTTAAATGAACTGATCAATGTTGCTCACTTCAATGGTCGCTGGTTTTAAGGTTGTGGCTGATACATATAAATGTAAATGTATGCATGTAAGTGTGTGTGTGCCATCCAGAAGAACAAACACTAGGCCTAGATGGTATCCCTGTAAGACAAAAATCAGAGAAGAAAATGTTGAATTAGTAAAAATTATTTAAAATAAAATAGAAAGCATCATGATCATGAAGAATGGATTTTAACACATTCAACTAAACTAATATATGCTTACAGAAACCTACACATGCATACCTATTCAAATCTGCATCTGTCCATATCTGCCTGAACACCATTCCAGACTGAATTTAAAGGTAAAATAAATCTGAAATTATTCAGTGTCTCACTGCCACTGTTCTCCTGAAAGACTTTGTGAAACCCATCTGGAAAACTTAGCTAGGTAGTTTACATCTTTACCATCTCTGCCTTATGTGTTGAAGCCGGTGACACTTTTGACAGCACTGAGAGCCATTTTTAGCCAGAGAACTTTACATGCCTGCTGGCAAAAGTTGGAGGTTTTCTGTGTGTTTTTAGTTAGAATTCACTGCAATACAAAAATGAAAACAAAATCTTTAATAGTTTCAGTATGCAAATGTATTTTTTGTGTCTTTTAACTTCATCCTTTATATCATCAAGTTTTAACTGTGATATGCTGAGACAGATTAAAAATAGGCATTTAGCATTTGTAAATCCAGTAGACATAAGTGTTTAACCATAGTGTCATTCCAGTCAAAAGTAAAACACAGTGGAGTATGACAACAAATGTACCATTGTATACTGATTTGTTATAATTTATTGTCACTGCCTTGTATTATTGGTACACTCTGGGGTTTAAGAGGGCTGGAATGATCTAGAATAGCATTACAGAATCTTCGATTCAATGACTAAATAAATCTGATAGTTAGTATTTTGTATGAAACTGCCTAACTTACTAACTCCATCTTTTCAGCTGATGCTACAGTTAATTCACCACTTGACCCTACCCTACCTACTGCAGCCCCTTCTCCACCATTGATTCATTCCTGTTATGCATTCAATTGAATTCAACAGTCGCCTCAAGGCGTTTTATATTATAAGGTAGACCCTACAATAATACAAACAGAGAGGAACCCAACAATGAAATGACCCGCTATGGGCAAGCACTTTGGCGACAGTGAGAAGGAAAAACTCCCTTTTAACAGGAAGAAACCTCCAGCAGAACCAGGCTCAGGGAGGGGCGGCCATCTTCCACGACCGGTTGGGGTAAGAGAAGGAAGACAGTATAAAAGACATGCTGGTGAAGACAGCCAGAGATTAATAACAAGTATGCAGATATCAATAATGTTGCACCAGCAGTACTTCAGCATCTAGCTAGCACTACAAAATAACTTTTTTATGGGTAATCTCAAATGAAACCTTTCTAGCAGTTCAACAAACATCACCAGTGACAAACAGGTTCTCTGTGCAGTTTGGCACAGAATCTGTGCGCTAGCTAGATGTGCACAGTTCACGTATTTTCCAGGAAGAACAAAGATGTTTTAAAACGTCCCACTTTAGGTGGAGAAAAATGCAACAAAGAGAGGACACTGAGAGATTACTTTCAAATGTAAGTGCTGCTCAGCATGTGACATTTGGTAAGCTGGAAATTTAAGGCTTAGGACTAATTCATATTAGCTTTCAGTGGATCTCTATATGATTTATGGCTAAAGTTGGCAATTCATATAATGAAATCTCTTTGACAACAAATTAAATGATGATTGAAATTCATCTTATTTAAAGTCAAGGAGGACAACAGGTGCCGGCCAAACTGGGCAGGGTGCAATAGACTTATTGGGCACATTGTACAGTAGGCAGACTCTTTGCTACACAACTGTTGGGTTGAGCTAGCATCAGTAGCATCATAAGAAAGATAGACATGAAACTCAAACAATTTCTAAAAATGAAATTCATGGGAGATTTTATAACAGCAAATATGCTGGAAAAAGTGAAAAAAAAAGTCTTATTTATGGGTAAAGTCAACAAATATTTAAGTATATTCGATTGGATTTGGATATTTTGTACATGCAGTTTTTATGGTCCCCTGACCATTGAAATGAAGGGTAATTTTGATAATGTTTCAAAATAATTACTAAAATAACTGCCCCAAATTTGATTCATTGTCGTTGCTAAGTAACAGGACTTGTTTCGAGATGAGGTCGAGTTGAATTTGAATTTCTTTAGCAACTCTTCTCAATTTCCATGTTTACAAAGGCTAGGTTTTGGAAAGCAGCCATAATACAATATTTCACGTAACTCCTGCATATACTATGTAGCATGTACGACAAAGAGCAAAGGAAAACCTAAAGAAGGAGCAACATTTATATGAATATACCCTACAAAATTATTGTAAGACTTAGTTGTAAATGAGTCTTTTTCCCCTTTTGCCCCCTTACCTACACTACCTCCACTTGGCAAAGCCCACTTGGCGACCCCTGGGAACACTGCATAGATTAAACAAAACAATTTGCAATATACATGTGTCCAGGTGACAGAAATTATATATGTGACATTTGCTACGACATTTGTCATTCCATTCTCACAATATTTTACTGTCAAAACAATTCATATGTCTTTAAGAAAAAGATTCAAAGAGTCTGACTTGAAATGAATCATCAGTCTTGTTCTAGGGTGCACTGACAGGTCAAAGAACTGCAGACAGGCTCTTAAAGGAAGTGAACTTGTGACCTTTTGGTAACAGCACCATTTATCTTAAAACAAGGCTGCCTTTCCTTATTAACTGCATTTGTTCAACTAACCAAATGACAAATTTGCATCTGTACAGTTGCTAAAGAGGACTGATCAGCAAAGCACTGGGAGAGTCCCACAGAGACAAGTCTCTTCTTTGCAGTTGAAAGCCTGGGTGATTAATGCTGAGAAAATGAGGTAGAGGGACAGCACTCTGCTTAGCCTGTCAGGCTGTCCCGTTTTATCAAGGAAGATTCAGACTGCAGACTGTGCACCATGGCAGAGTGGAAGATGTGGTAATATAGTGGAGAGATGGTGACTGAGAAAGGAAGCGTTTAAAAGAGTGACACTAGATAGAGTAAGAAATAGAAAAAGCAAATGGGAGCAAGGGGTGATAGACGATGCGAAAAAAAGAAAAAAGAGAACAGATTTCTTGTTTGATAACAAATTATCCTATTAAGATTTGTAAATGCTTGTGTTTTTTTTCTGCATGAGTGTGCACACAGGCTTCCATGCAAACAAAGGTAGATGTGTGATAAACGCCTGACAGACAAAGGCAGATGTAAACAGTTCTCACAAGACCCAGGAGAGAAAAATGATAGATAGGGGATCACTGTTTATATCGGTCTTCTCTACTCCCTGTATGAGTGGCCTGTAATTGAATGATCATTACACCAAAGCTATGGCTATGGCCCTGCAGTTGAAAATAGGAATTGAGTTTGAAAGAGCATTTAGTGGTTTTGATTTATGAGCAACAATAGGGAAGTTGTTTTTTCAAGCCTGGAACTCTGATGGCCAATAAAGAGGAGCAAGGCTTATCGCCTGCTGTACCCACTCTGACACACATACACCATTTAGCCTGCTAGGCAGCCAGCAACCAGTCAACCAACCAGCTGGGGCCCTTCACGGAAGGAAGTGTTTTCAGCAAATTTGTTTCCTTCATGTCTCGCCCTGAATGGTGCTATTCATTAAAATAGCCTGCAGTCGGTAGGCACTGCTGCCACGGCACATTTATACACTTGTATGCCTGTATCCTCACTGAAGTAGACACACACTTGCACACAAATCCACCTACACTCACAGCAGACCAAAATCGTTTCTTTTGGTTCACCTCATCTTTGCAGGAGACCCTTCAATAAAAAAGCAAAGACACAAAGAGAGAAAAAGGGTCTGTTGCTTGCACAGCTATCTGCTTTCAGTTAGGCCGCTGGAGTTGTATATTTATTTCTCTGAAATGAAAAGAGCTGCTCACTTTCATTTAATGGATACAATATTTGGATTCATGTGGGTCTTACTGAGAATCAAGAGGTTACTAGTGTAGGTGGTGCTGCACACAAGAGCAAAGAAATGTAAAGTGTTAACTGTGAAAGTATTGTGCAGTGGACCGTGTTTCAGTCATAATCTATAGCGCTCCCGCTATTTTAACTGTAATTTAACTTATAATCTTAGGCAGTGTTTGCACCACTTTAGCCACAATTCAAAATATCAGCCAAATATATCTCAATTATCCCAGGCAACAAGCAAATTAGGTAAAAATGCAATTCACCATTCAGGTTCTCACCCACGTTGATATGTTTCCCTTCATTCATGCTGATAATCAGATGTTTAATTGAGAAAAGGGTGAACTTTACAATACCAAACAGTTTATTTATGGAGAAAAGTCAACTATTGGCAGCTTTATAACCTCTTTATTCATGTTTACCTCCATGTGGCATAAAGATTGGCAGCAAATTTCAGTGTGATTTTACTTGTTGGCAAGATGCCAAAAGTGAATTATCAAGCAACTATATATATTTCATAATAACAAAATGCATGCCAAGAAATGTTTTATGACTGTTTTTAGTGTTTTAGAAATCATCATTATGTCAACAAAAGCGTTGTGAGTTTTTCTCTGCACTTGTCTATTTTCATGGAATGGATTGAGGTGCAGTACTGTTACTTTTTAGAGTCATCTCAGCAGATAACTGCCCAGCTCCTGACATGACGAGCACACCAAAAACCTCTGATCATCCTGCCAGGAACTCTATTCCCTTGCCAAGCCCGATAGTAACTTATTGCTGCCTCTGAGACCCACTGTGATTTGAAAATAAGTAATTTTGTTCCAAAGATGTAATATCTACTGCTGAAAAAATGGATAACATTTTAACAGGTGCATCTCTTCGCAGCATATCACTGTCAATAAGATTATTTTCCCCGAAAAAGGGTCTGTTTGCGGTTGTTGTCTTCTGCTGACATGCCAAGTTCGCAAGTAGGATTTCAGACATGAGATGTTCTGTATTGGAGAAGACCTTCTGATCTTTCTCAGGATGAATATAAGAACCATCTCTACAACACCACCTGCAGCAAGCGTGTTCAGTGGCAGTTTTTGTCGATGTTAGACGATTCAACTCTTACAGTCATGTAGCCGTTATCGATCAGAATGACAACCTGTGGTTATACTTGTTCTTTGCACTAGCTGCTTCTAAGACCACTGGGGGTTTCAGTTATTAGCCCTGGGGCTCTGTGTATTGTATCACCTCCTTCTTGCCTTTCATCAATCCTCCCCACTCACTGCACTTTCTCAGTCACACTTAAATGCACTGTATGTGAAGAAATTCCTCTGTGACATATGCACATGAATTCCAAAAGAAACACATGCATACTTTATTATATGCCATTTTCTTATTTTTAATTGCTCCTGATTCCCAGAGCTGAAATGCTGTCACTCTGCAATTTTTCTACAGGACGTTTGTCAGGATCTCCTTTCAAGCTTGCAGTTCCTATCAATTAACAGAAACAGTTAGGAGTGTGTCACTAAGCGGGTTAGTCACACACAGCTATCCTGATCCCTTCCAACACTGTCATGTCATCTGACTTGTCTCAGCTCATGCAAGGGGGCTTTTCTCTTTTTAGAGAAAGAGCAAGAAAGGAGAATAAAAGGAGCTGAACCCACACAGTTGAAAAGCCCCAGAGTCAGAAGTGTTGATGCACACTGATAGTGTGCATATCGATAGTGTGAACATAAATGCACAACCAGGCAGACACATTTGTTTAGAGCATATGGCCGGGACAAATCAAGCACACTAAGTTGCACACATACACAATAAAGTGAGCCTTTTTATCTCTAACTAGTATAAATCTCAACATCCTATCAAAGTGTCATACGGGAGCTATAGATGTAATATAAGAGAGCACAATGCATCTCATGATGTCATCAAAAGAACCATAGCGCTATTTGTGCTTTAGCAATAACAAAGCCAAGACGCAGCACGACTGCTGTGTATATCAGCAATAACTGTAAGTTATGTGCAGTATACAATTTAAAAGACAGCACCTGAAAAAACAGAAAAATAGATTCAGATTTAGTTTACTATGTTGTACTATAAGTATTCATAATATAGTCTGTTGTGAGTATTAGCCTCTCAAGTTGCTGTTTCAAGTCACATCCTATATATGATTTGATGCTGTTTACTAAACTGATTTAGTGTAAGCTTAAGATGTATTGTTTGAAAGCTGTCGCCTTCGCTGAATTCAATATGTAGAAATCCTGATGTTTGACAAAAAGCTAAAGGATTTCTTTGAGATCACATTTTGTATGAAAATTTGAACGAAAATTTAAAAAAACTAAATATTAGTGGGAGCTTAGTTAGCAAACAGCAAAGAAAAGATCATCATACAGAGTGTGTGTCTGATCAGGACCTGGTGTCCACATATGTGGAAATCACATTTTGGGTTATTTAGACCAAAATACTGAATTTTGCTCTACAAGGTCACAGATCAAGTGAGTAGAACGGTTGTTTTCTGGTAGATTAATGAAGTTGCCAATTATAAAGAGAGCAAGCGGTCCCTTTTTACCATATATTTCACTTAATGTGACTGCAGATTCAACATAAAGTTAATTTTGCATTCAATATGACTTGAAATTCCCAAATGAGACCATTAAGTCATTAGTGAAATGTTGACTGAGACAATAAATTATGCGTGAATTAGGCTACTTTTATCCTAGTCTTCTCTACACTTTGACTTGTTTTAAGATAGGAGAGCCAACCCCTGCTGGCCATTACAGATATTGCACAGTTTTGTACCACATTAGCCCAAATATAAGAGAATTATGACTTTATAAAGAGGTCAAGCAATTATACATTAATTATTTTTTCTTTATTTTCTCTGGCTTGGACAGGCATGGCTCATTAAAGCTTTGCACACAGCTATTATGCCTGTTTACAAGTGCAATCTATGCATGGCAAATGATGGCTAGGAGATATATTTTTAGTAATGTTGCTAAGAGAAACAGAAGATAATTGCATGTTCATCCTATTTGGGCAAGAATTCATTATGTATTGAAAGTACATACTCATAAAACCTGTAAATAATGCAGTCCGTTCAGTATCAACCCCGTGACCAGTCTCTAACACGTTTGGAAAAAGTCATATTGGAAAAATTCTCTGTAAGTTGAAAGATCTTTGTGTATTTGATGAATAATATATGCCCTTCCAGAATAGCAAATGCACAATGAAGAAAGAAAAAAATGTAAAACAATATATATAATGAATACTTCACATTCCCATATTCTGTTTTCTCTCTCTGTCTCTAACTTCCTTTATCTCTTACACACAGAGACCCATTGGTATACAAACACACAAGTACACACACACACAGCAGACAAACTTTAGAACACAGATGGGTATATTTTCAGTTATATTTTGCTCAATAGCCAAAGGTCCCTAAGCGCAACAAAATCCACCAATAAGGAAGACAATATAAGCTATTTCTCACACACTTGGAGACTTAGCAAAATGTAAACTTCCAGAACCACCTGCCCACATAATCAGCATACTGCCTTTCTTTTCATCCAAAACTCTCACATTTTTCTTAATTGTGAGAAATGTGTATGCATGTATGTGTATTGTATTATTGTTGTGGGGACATAAACCAGATTACACAGTCATATTGTGGAACCTTATGAGCCTTTTTTGAGCAAAAAGCATCTTTTGCGTCTTTTAAAATTTACCACATATTGACTCTTCAAGTTTATTATGAAGATCTGGAATCAAAGTAGGTAATTGTAACTGATGAAAAGACTAACACCAACTGCGTGTGAGAACCTCAGCATGCAAACTTGACAGAGAAAAGACTTTCTATTACAGTTTGGTAATACTGTGGTAGTGTGGTATTAATATGAAAGTAGCAAAATAACTAAACCTGCAGTTTCCCATCCAACGTCCTCACTGCTCCTTCAGACTCCACCTTCTCACCCAATATTATTATTACTCAGCTATTACTATTACTCTATTACTCAGCTAAAGCCACTGATTATGCATGATATTACTTAGTTATTACTTTGATATTAATTTGTATTTAAGTCATAGTAAACTCCTATTTCCATATTATTACCTTGTCATTTCCACCTTATTACTCTATTATTACCACACTGTTACCAAGCAGTAATGTAAAGTGCAAATAATTTTCTTGTTCATATGTCAATAATTTGATGAACATTCCATATATCATTATATCTTATATAAGTACAGAAGCTGTACATTTGTTTCGTAGTAGTCAAGTTAATGCTTGACCTCTGACCTTGACCTTGAGGCTGAGATCTGTGAGATTCAAACTTGTGTGAGATTTTAGTAGATGTACCAATGGTGCTAATTTGATACTACTATGTTGCGTTGTTCTCAAGTTATTGCATTCACAAATTTGGGTGTCGACGCCGCCTGCCCGCCCACCCTCCCACCCAGCAGGTTGCCGACAATATCCCATCGGGCTTTCATAGCCGAGTGGGGGGGAAAAAACCCATTCAGTTATAGTCAGTAAGGCAGTAGTCATCCTAAAATCTGTCTGTTGTCTCTCTACAAACACATAAAAACAAATGCTGGAATCATTTGTAACAACATGCCATCTGTTCACCTGGACATCTCCATTGTGTCCTTGGTAAGATAGACAATCCAGTAGACCAGGTTGAAGGCGCCAAACGAAAGGGGGAAAAGGATGCGTGAGTATTTGTCGATGATGCTGGTGCCAGTCAGAACATTGTTGGCCGGTACAGCCGAACCTTGCTGGAGGAATGCTTGGGCATTGACCGGTGGGTTGGGAAATGTCTTGGCAGGACGCTCAAACATCGGGGTGGAGTTCATCCTCTTCTTAAGCACACTACTGGCATCCACCTTGGAGAGGAAAATAAGAACGATACAAAGTATATAAAGACCAGGGAAAAACAAAATGTTATAATGTCAGTATCTTATAACATCAATGCTAGTTAGTGTTAAGGGAGGAAATAAGGAAAAAAGGAAAAATCCATTCTGATGATAGTGGTGTGTTTAACATACTGTAAATAGATAAGTCCATATGTTCTATGGAGCATGTGATCTATATCTAAAATGAGTATGAGTATCACAGTAATTACACCCAGAAAAGAAAATCAATGATGTTTTGATTTTGATTGAAACTTCAGCCCATTCTGTCAAGGCTGGTGTAGTTGTGGGAGGCAAACAAACCATATTAAACGAAAGAAGCTCAATATATTGACGCATGGGTTTCTCACGCCTCATCAACTTTGAGTAAACTAGTGTGATCGCAACACATGCTCCCTGCTCCAATAGTTGTAAATCATATACAGTATGTGTACAGAAAGTAAGGGGAGTGTACATCTGGAAAATGGGTCAAGTAACAATGTGTTGCCTCCAGGTAGAGTAAGTGAGAAAGAACACGTTCCCTTTTAAAGGAACAAATTTCAGCATAAAAAAATACAGTTATTCCACGATGGCCTTTTATTGATCAGCAGCTTCACTGAGTAAGCACTGAACTTTATAATAATATAATTTAATATTTATTTTAAATATGCTGTTTTGTGCCATATTTATGCTTTATAGGACACTTTTTGTTTACATGGAAATTTCAAATATATTCCTTGTTAAATTTGCAAGTTTCTAGAACATTTATTGCAGAGCAGAGTTTGAACAGTTCTTTACATTTTATTTTGGGGGAAAAACTCCTAGTAGTTTACTAAAGCATTCAGTGTTTCTCACTTCAGTGTGGATATTTTTTGGCAGTCTTGGAACAAAATCTGAACTTGTGAGATTTAGGCAGGATTTGTGAGGCTACAGGATTACATGCTCCTCTACAGGTTAAGAAACTATTAAACTGTTACAATCCTAAGGCTTAGGGGAAACATTCCAAAAAATAAATAAATAAATAAAATCCATGGTGGCCAGTTTAAAAATCCATTAGCAGTTAAATTAGAGTTATTAACAACATTAATACTGAATCAAATTAAATATAAAATATTTGTCAGTCATTCCATGGCAGCTATGCTGAGGAGTGCAATCATGCTGTAAAATCTTAATATATTATACGTCTGGGGGTTTAAATGTGTTTATCATTTGAGGAAGTTCACAGGAGTGCAAGTCACAAACATTTGATATGGAGGTGTTAGACAAAGATAAAAAAGCTAATGTTTGAGCAGCATTTTAAACCTTTCTATTCTCTTTAAGCTGTATTATTATGGGCTTGATGAATATATCAAGCTCTGTAAAGTTCTATAGCAACACTGGGGAAGGGCTGTGAGAGAGAGAGCAGGTCCAGATGATCTAACCACCATTACCACCAGTCATTTTCGAGGTTAAGTTCACTCTTCAGTGAATAATAGTGTATCCTCTTATCTGTGAGTGGTATACTGTATGCTTCACAACACCAGGCTGTAGCTTCAAATGTCAGCTACCTGTTTCTGTTTCCCTTTTAGGTAACAACATGCAGTGAGTACACACACCGCATGCATTACTTCTGCATGGTGTACTGCACATGTCTGCAGTTGAGCCAAATGACAAGCTATTGCTCATGATGACAACAGGATCTCTTGGCTTCCTCTTAAATCTCATGGGAGATCAAGTCCTTGTCCCTTATTCACTGCTCTAGTTTTCAACAGACTCACAGAAAGGTTGGGTGCTGACTAACGGATATATGGATCATGTTTGGATGTGGGTCTCCGTGAGTAGAGCAGGTTAAGAGCTACACACGAGTGTGTTTATGTTTCATAGTGTGCGAAGGGGTTAATAGACAGCACGATTTCACTTTCTGTCCACTAAGGAGCCTCATCTCTGGGTGTTTGGATGTAAGTGGGTGAATATATGTAAATAATTATTACAAATTAAAAGCCATGGATATTACACACACAGTCACACACAACAGTTATGATCCAATAAGATGAACCATCGAAGGATACGGATAAATGAATGAAAAGACAAAAAATTTCCTGATCATTGTCATTTTGCACATTTAAACCATATTAATCTCACAATCTCACAGGGTTCACGAAACTGTTTTTTGTTTTTGTTTTGTTTTTTTACTTTTATGTACAGTACCAAGAGATTACTGGCAGAGAAATAAGGATAAGAAACAAATTGTTCACACATATATCAAAGCCTTCAAAAACACTGGTGACAACATAACTCTTTTAACCTCGCAAATTCAGTAACACAGAGATCTTGCCCTAGGCGAAGTGAATTCAGGTGACTTCTTTGAATCATAGCATGGTTGCTCAAGGTGATTGCACAGTTTAAGGCACAGTTGCACATTTTAGATGACTAAATTAATTTGCATGACTAAATTACATTGCAAAACTGCTACTAGTATGACTTCTGAAAATTTCAATAAAGAGTTGGTGGGAAACAGTGGGAGGCATGCAGTTCTGCATAGTGTGTGGGAAAGTTACTTAACTTTCCTACACTACTGCCATTATGGGAAGTGAAAGTAGGCTAATGACATACATTAACTGGCTTAATGGTTGTAGCTTGTTTCTAAAAAGTTCTTAAAAATACAAAATTTCCCAATGATTAAGCCTGGCAGGCAGTCATTTTAGGCTTTGAAACTTTAACTGTGCTGAATAAAAAATGAATAGGCTAGAGATGTAAGCTTCATGTAGCGCAGGTCCCTGGTGGTTTGATTATTTCCTGTCTCATGTTGACTGAAAGATAACAGTTGTTCAGTGTTTTTCACAGCAGAATTTTCTCCAAAAACTGGATGTCCATCGAATTACCATGACTAAATTATCATTTAATAATACCGTTGATAAAGGTGGATATTTATGGTTATGCTTCACATACTGAATTATTATAGAGTTAGCTATAAACATAGAAAAATAGGGGGTGGGGGGTGGAAGACTGCTAAATGATGTAGAAATAGAAATTTCTAAATAAATACCTGTAATCAGTGCATTCAACAAGTGTTACTTCATTACAATTTTTTTATTAGTCCTTCATTTATTCTGGTAAAAAAAAAATCTCATTGAGATCAAAAAATCTCATTTCCAAGAGAGACCTGACATCTTGGCAACAAAAGTCAAAATGTTATGCACCATCCATGACGCTACTTTTTAGTTAGTGTTGATCCCTGAACCTGAAAATCCTCTCTTTCAGTCTAGTTATTAAGCCGACAGGACAGCAAAAGAATTTCCTTAAAAATGTCCTGATTTAATCAGTGTCTCATCGCCTAAGCAATCTTTTCAAATTCTGTGATTGCAAGTACCCGTGGCTCAACCTCTGCATAAAGATCACATCTTTCTATCTCTCACCTTATTTTTTTTTCTTAATATGAAAAAAATATTTTCTTTATTTCCAGCACTAAATACTGCACCACCTACTCACCACTGGAAATGCATTCAGCACCCGTTACTCACACTGACAAACACTCGATCCCCCATTATGTTTACAGTTGTATATTTGATTCATTAACTGAACCAATTTGCTTTTGTGAGGTTTCCATGCCTGCTGTGTTTTACATGACAGTCATAACAGGTCATGGTCTTTTAAATCGTGACTGGTTGATGGCTATTTCTATTCCCAGTGATACGCCATTGTTGTGTTTTTTTTTCTATGTAATAAAGAGTCTTTCCTCCTACATATTTGGTGAAAGCAGTCATTTTCCATGATGCATCCCTCCCACTCTATTTCTCCTCTCAGTGTAACTTTAATGCATACACACACACACACACACACACACACACACACACACACACACACTCGAATGCAAACTCACATAAAACACAAAAAACAAACCACACTGGCCCATCATCCATCTCTCCATCTTGTTCCATATAAAAAAATTATATATATATATATATTTTTTTTTTAAATGGACTGTGCCTGCTTTCTCAGCCCCCTCTCTGCTTTATTGTGGTGGTGGTTGCCCTCCTTCTTGTGAGCGTGCAGTGATATGCTGGATAGTCCCTTAATCTATGGCTCTTACATAATCGGCAGCAACATCATTCACTGAGCCACTGGCTGTCTCCCCGTGTCACTCACTGTGGTTATCACACAGTTACAGGGATGAATAAAGGACTGGGAGAAAGGGCTGGATGGATGATATACTGTAGCTAGATGGATAGATAAGGCATTGTTGAAAGCGATGAGTGAACTATATGGATGCAGGGGACATCGTTTGTTGCCGATGATGTATATACACGGGTTGGTTAGGTGTGTGTTGCAGATAATATCTGCATGTGAGTTATATGAGTGCAAAACTGGAAAAAGTGAAGGTTGTTATGTTTCACTGTTTATGTGTGGACAGCACATTCAAGCAAAAGTAGCAGGAGAGACGCAGAAGGGAGATCTGTGTGTGTGTGTGTGTGTGTGTGTGTGTGTGTGTGTGTGTGTGTGTGTGTGTGTGAAGTAGAGAATAGAGGTCTTACAATAGTAGCATAGAGCAGAGAGAGGAAGCAGGGAAAAGCAATATTGTAACATTTAATTGATCAAAAGGGTGAGATAGAAGCATTGGATAAATTGCAAACAAAAGCATGATTTTGTGATTTTTCATGTATTGTGTTCTATTTACATTATAGATGTGGCAAATGTCGTATTTGTTCTGTCAGCAAAAAATACGACAGAAAGAATTTAGGGGAAAAAGGTTAAGAGTAGAATCAAATCTATTCTTGTCAAGCAGGACCAACATGCTAAAGCAGGGGTAAGGTCTCCCATTGCTCACAGAACAACTTTTAATTTTCTTTGCAGAATTTCACAATATATCACAAACACTGCATTGACATGATTACTTCATGTATGCAGCAGGGACTTGGCATGGTCTACACTTGTTAAAGCCTGCCTTTCTCATTTACATTCAAACAAAAATTTACGATTTTTTTCAGGTAATTTGGTATTTCTCTTATGTTTCTGTTTATTATATTTGTTGAATGTCTTTCATGAAAGGCTTTGCTGTTAAACATTTTTTAAAATATTGTTATTGTTCTTTTTATTAGATATTCGACTGAAGACAACACTCATGTATCGAAAAAAAGTTCTTTAAATTGAAAGGCTGTTTAAAATAAAGTGAACAAAAACACGAATCTGCCGTAACACTAAAATGGGAACATTTCTAATATTAATAAATTGGAATGCAAACTAAATCTTCACTAAACAGAGGATAAACAACAAATATGAAAATGAAAGTGGTTGGTAAATGGACTACCATTATGGACTATATACCACTTTTCTTAAAGTGCTTTATACAACTTGCCTAATTCACCCCCATTCATTCAAGTACATTTTCCTATGATTTTTTTTCTTTTTGGTAAGTGTTTTTTAATCTAAAATTCATAGAAGTTCTTACTCTTATGGATGCATTGGAGAGCAACTCGGGGTCAGTATCTTGACCAAGGATATTTGGCATGCAGACTGGAGCAACCAGAGCTCAAACAACCAATTTTACCTGCTCTTTCTCCTTCAAAGCGGCCTTTAAGATTTAATAAAGCAGTTTTCGGACACAAGCACAATTGTGTGATCCATCACATTGCTCTGTAGAAAGTCTGATGCTTTCAAATTGCTGTAATTGTATCCCTCCAAGAAATACTGGCCCATGTAGGAGTCTTCTGCTATATGATGGATACAGACTCAAAACTCCAGCTAACTCTTTTTGCATTTGTGTGTCCATGGAGCATTCTCTAAAAAATGGCACAAATAACAGGAGTTGTAGAACTAGTCAAAAAAGACATCAAAGTGTGTGGCTCCGGTAGTGACATGGCTTTTGATGCACACTGTGTTGACGCAATAAGTACAGACTAAGCTTTAAACATTGATCAATGAACAATCATTTGTCATGGAGATATCGGTCACAGTGATGAAATATTCTTGTCATCGCTGGCATGAAGCTGAAACAACTATACGATCATAAAACTTAAGTAAATGTGGTTTAAATCATTTTACACTATAGACAGAATATAGTTCGAATATGTGTTTTCTCCCCACGTGGGTTCTCATAGGGAGTACTACCTACATTTTTCCTACAGTATGGCTTTACAGTGTAGAGTGCTCTAAGATAACTCCTATTGTAAATATCAGAAATGAATTGAACTAAATTTGAATAATTACATTTCAAGTTGTGTGATTCATTGCTGTTTTTCAAGTTCCTTGGAATAAAATGACAGCTCTGCTCTTTATATCACTGCCATCATGAATCATTGCATCAGAGCTCAGTTAACAATGGCTTTTTTTATTATACATACAACTTCGTCAGACACTTTTATATAGTCAGAGTTAGCTAAAAAAAAATTCAAGTGTTCAGGTAATTCAGGTCTTTTTCAGCAAACTCTTTTCTAACTCAGGATTAGACAATTCAGAATTCAAGAATTAGACTCAACGTAAGTTAAGCAAAAAGGTTGCATATTGTAGTACTCGCCTTTTTTAACACAATTACTATTTTTTTTATCTACTGCTCTCCGTTTGCCACACAGATGTGCTTATGTCATGCTGACAGAGCCAACATAAACTGTGAAAAGAATGAAACGCTGAAATTGTTATATAACAGCACAGAGCAAAGAATGGATTTCGTCAGCTAAAGAGAGACAAACACAAGCTAGACAGGATGAAAAAAAAATACAGAAGCTTAGCAAGATACCAGAAGTCAAGTCAAACCTCAGATCTAAATAAACACAATGATTAGGGAGAAGAACCTGATATGCAATATATAGAGATGATGTCATAATGCGCATGTTATATACCTCAACCTTAGAACCACAAGCACTTTTGGCCACCTCATTTTTGTGTTTTTAGCCCTTCCCAAACAAATGACTCATACTTCACAAAAAAAACTGCTTCCCACCTTCCTTGAGTTATAATTCAGAAAAACCAAAACTAATAAGTAAATTTCTAGAATTTGTGTAATTCAAATAGGGGCATATCAATATGTGCAAGCCATTTCACAGAGCAATTAGTGCAAAAAAATACATAAATACACTTTGCTTAGTATTAGCCAGATGTTACTGAGCCACATTTTTTAAATCCCATGCTTCATTCATTTGCTGGGATTAACCAATTTCTAATGTTTAAAGCTGGAGCTAATACTATACCATCACTTTCTGCATGTCCTTTACTGGTTTAAGTAAAGAAAAGCAAAAAAGTAAAGGTGGCATTTCTCTACTTTTGTGATATTAAGATGTTTTATCTGAAAGAAACAACAGCAGGCTGGTCATCTTCAACTAGCTAATTATCAGAATATTTGTTGATACATGTAAACAGAAGTTTGAAAAGGTGAGCTAGACTTACTGAGGACACCTCTACGTCATTCCCTGCGGCCACAGCGGGAGCAGCGGCCGCAGTTGCTGCCTCCTGAGCTGCTGCCTTCATGGCCGCTGCTTTCCGGTGCTCCCTGTTGGCCTGTAAGGTGGAGAAGTAGTTGACGGCGGCAAACTCAATCAGGGCGGAGAAGACAAAGGCAAAGCAAACAGCAATGAACCAATCCATGGCTGTGGCATAGGAGACTTTAGGGAGTGAGTGGCGGGCACTGATGCTGAGCGTTGTCATCGTCAAGACAGTGGTGATACCTGCATATGGGAAGGAGACAGCAGTAGATATATTGTTAAATAAGGATGCTGAGCCAGCCTGTTTAAATTGAGCCTTTTTTTTTCTCAAAATCTGTAGATCAAATCTTAGAAATCATTTATCATTTTACCCAAATCTTCACACCACTTATTACAATGGTGTTTAACACCAAAAAAGAGAAAAAAAACTATTTCACGCATGTCAGGATTTTAAAGAGAAAGCACTGCTGTTCAAACAGAGGGCCAAAGGATTGTCTGAACACATTTTATTGGATGTATATGAGTCAAAAATCGAGCTTTCTGGTTGAAATGAGAAGTTTCTGTTTGGAGAAAGGAGAACACTGCATTCCAGCAAAGGAACCTTATCCCATCTGTGAAACGTGGTGGTGGGAGTATTGTAGTTTGGGCATGTTTTGGTGCATCTGGTCCAGGGCAGCTTGCCATTAGTGATGAAACAATAAATTCTTAATTTTACCAGAGAAAACGTGAAAGAAAAAGACAACCAGTAAACAAACACTGATCGGTCGTTCTACCAAAAAGTTTTTGTAGTAAAAGAAAGATTATTTTTTGGAATCATCAAGGTTCTGATATACATCCAGCAGAAATGATGTGGAAGGATCAGGATAAGCAGTTCACGAGCAAACCCACTAACAATGCAAAGTTGAAGCTCTTCTGTAAAGACGGATTTGAGAAAACTGGATGTTTAGGTGTTCATTGCTTCTCAAAAAGTAAAAACATTAAAGACACTGACAGTAACAATCCACACACAAATATGCAATACTGGGACATTTGTTCCTAAAGAACAAAAAAGTTAACAATTTAGGTTAACAATGATTGTTAACCTAAATATTGGGAGAAATCTTACAGTTTCTTCATGCAGTTGCTAAATTTGAGATTTCAAATTTATACTTTCATCAAAATATCAATAGTATCAGCAATATCCATGATGAAACTGCAAACAAACCATCATGATGGACTCGTACGAGTTACTGATAAATATCATAATAAGCTAACTTGACATACACATTTATACATCTTCTTCTTCAGCTGCTTCCTTTAGGGGTTGCTAATGGATCATCTGCTTCAATTTCACCTCATCACTTATATCCAATTCTATCATCCCTACTCTCTGCATATCCTCGTTTGCTACATATATATGAACCATCTCTGTGGTCTTCCTTTTTTCCTTTTGCTTAGCAGCTCCATCTTTAAGATCTTTTCTCCAATATACCCCGTGTCCCTCCTCTTCTTATATTCATACTATCTCATCCTTTTCTCTTACTTTCCCTCCAAATTATTGAACCTGAGCTGTTCTTTTCTGTTCATTTCAGCTGTTCATTTCTAATCCTGCACCTCCAGGTCCCAATCGAAATCGTAGCATCGTGTTATTAATATTTATAGAGAAAGATATACTTTAAAAAAAAGGCACATTGCACATCATACAACAAAAGATACTGTGTAACACTAGTTAAGCTGTTGATGTCATAAATCTTTGATAAAAATATATGTGTATATGATGTAACAAGAAAATAACAGAGCCAAGCAGAGCATATTTTTCCCATGGAATATTTTTAACATGTGGCAGCAGTCCTGTTTTATGGCATATAACTAGAATGTGGCATTTCAAATCAGAAAGTGTTGCCAAAAAGTCACTTGAGGGAATGCTAATCTGTCCATAAGCAGACTAACCCCTGCCCCCACATTGGCACGTCGGTAAAAAGAGACCGAATATCTATAAACATTCTGGAGAAAGACATCCAGGCTGTATGGTATTTGCTAATATTTGTTTGCTTGTCTAATATGAGGTACAGACAAGATGATGGAGAGAGATGATCAGAAGAAAGAATGAACATGAACTTGAAGCTTAGACTAAGACTAACAGACTTCCTTTTAGTAGGAAATCAATATACATGTATATATATATATAATTATTCTTTTTTTAATTTTTTTTCTAAGTAATTTTCATTTGGGAGAAGAGTAGTTTATCACACAAAAGGTCCATTACATGTCCATTTTAGATATAACATTTCAGACATAGCCCCTAATACTACTTAATTCATGAATAGAAATGATCCGTAGTTCTTAATCCTTAGATAAGAATTTCCCTTTTCCCCACCCAGATTCCTTCCTTATTAAGTCAGATAAAGATGCTGACAATGGTAAATGGTAAATGGCCTGTATTTATATAGCGCTTTACTAGTCCCTAAGGACCCCAAAGCGCTTTACATATCCAGTCATCCACCCATTCACGCACACATTCACACACTGGTGATGGCAAGCTACATTGTAGCCACAGCCACCCTGGGGCGCACTGACAGAGGCGAGGCTGCCGGACACTGGCGCCACCGGGCCCTCTGACCACCACCAGTAGGCAACGGGTGAAGTGTCTTGCCCAAGGACACAACAACCAAGACTGTCCAAGCCGGGGCTCGAACCGGCAACCTTCCGATTACAAGGCGAACTCCCAACTCTTGAGCCACGACAATGAACATCTCTTTTAATAGCCCATTACCAAAGTACATATCTAATTCACTTTCATCAAGCTAAAGCAAGCAGGGATAAAGGGCCATTGAACGCTGTTCCCATGGTTTACCAAATGTGCACTGTAGCTGTGCACTTTTCATTAGCATTGTAGGAACTTATGGGGGTTTTAATGCACCTAATAATGTCTCAAAAACATTTTCTACACAGCACTTTGATGGTAAAACCTAACAACCCTCAGATGCAACCTCCTCCAACAGTCAACCAGTCTGACTGTTTAAATCTGAAGCACCAGTTAAATGACTGCAAAAGGGAGGAGGAACATGGAAAGAAAGCCTGTCAGGGTAGGAGGGAGAGGCAAAAGAAAAAGAAAGAAAGAGTGTGGGAGGGAGAGGGATGAAGTATAAAGACAGGATAGAAATGAAATGCTTGGGGCATTTATGGGCTTTTATAAGAAAAAAAGCAAGGTACAAATTAGGCCACACTCAATTAAGTCTGTAAGACTTGTGCTCAAGGGACTTTCAGCTCTTAGGTTGTTGACAATTCAGCACGCAATATGGTATGGTTTAATGCACTGTCAGTGTCAGGCCTGTCTCCAGAACAAAACAACCTAGGATGCATCTGAAGAAAATGAGAGTGCACTAGCTCTGGTTACCTTCCAAATAATGATTATCAGATTAATACACACAGCTATTCACTGTTTTCTGTTGTTGTAGCAAATGTATGTCTTGTGAAGTCAAAGAAGTGTTTAAAGTTCACAAATGAATTATGACTTCATAGACACAATAATTGTTTGTTTTGAACTCTCTTAATACATGTTTTGTATGTTTAATATTCTTACACCTATAGGTCACCTATAACTTATCTGTTCTTCTCAAAAGTAACTAAACTGTCTATCTTTTAGTCACAACCCAAAACTTGTGTGTTAATTCAATTTATTCAAGCAGTGGCTTTTTGGCTATCACTTGCAATGCAACTTGTTTTGTACATAATCTCTTGTGTCCTCTGTCCTCGATTTAGAATGAGCAGGTTTTTGGGTTTGTTTCGGGGTTTTTTTGCTTGTCTGTATCTTTTCATTCCAGCCAGTACTGAGTGAATTGAGAACAGCAGGATGAGTGAGGCTAATGAGTTGCCACAGATGTGCTTTCTACACGAGTCTTCAACTTCCATGCAAACATTAATGACGGGGATCTATTCTCTGAAGGAGAATGCAGATTTGTTGGAGCGCTGGCTCGTTTCCAAAGACAAGGGCTAGCACTGCTTCTGTGCACAGCTGCATCTTGAGTTTTACAAATAATGGAAATTCAGTTAAAAATGATAGCAAAATCTGTGCACTTTTGCACATTATCCTCACTTTTTGCATCTGTGCTTTTTCTGTCTTTCTGTTGCTGTCATTCCTCTTAGTCTATCTCTGTTTTTGTTCAGTGTATCTCACCCTTGCTGCTCCTGAGGCTAGAGCTTGGTAGCAACTGTAGCGTAATGTAATGTGAGCAAGCGGAACCTGTGAGTGCTCGGAAAAGGGCCAAGTAAACATCCTCCCCCTCTCAGCCCTTGCATGACCAATTTCAAAAAGGACATCTATTCCCAATTAATTCAGCTCCACCATAGTGGAGGAGGAATAGAGATAATGAAGGTAAAACCTGACTGTGATGACTGTGGTGGTCTTTGTTCTATTGCAGGAGGTTTCATTTTAAAGACAGCTCATTGCAGTTTAATTTAGGGTGCAACAAACAGAGAAAATATAGTTGCTTAAAGTTTGTAAAGTGAGAGTCAGGAGTTGTGGGGTCAACCAGTGGGCGGCAAGTCAATAAATCCAGACAGTTTATTATTTGGCTTTTTGATACTTTACTAAAAAGAAGTAAGCCACAACAAAATAATGGATAATGTATGCTTGGCTATTTTGTTCAGCTAATTAATGGGCACTCAAGTTGTGTCATAATCTGAAGCTAACTGCAATGGTGCAAAATTAGAACTGAGAAAACCTGAATATTTACAAAAAATTGCCAGTTATTTTTGGAAGACAAACTGAAAATGTTCTTCAGCGTTCCAAATATTTCAATCCAAGTAGTCAATGGCTGTGTGAAATGTGTTAGCTCTGGAGTCTACGTCAAAATCCCTTTTTCTGATATTTTTTTCAAATCTTGAAACTGACATTGAAATTTATACACTAAATGAGTATGAGAATTTAAGGAGCTCTTACCGAACACAGTCCGAGCTGGAACTGATTCCTTATTAATCCAGAATGAGACTTGGGCCAGGATGACAGTCATGATACAGGGAATGTAAGTCTGAATCAAGAAGAAGCCCATTTTCCTTTGCAGGTGAAAATGAACGGTCATAATGACATATTCACCTGGAAGAGTAAATACCAAAAAGATTTGTCAATGCTGAGAATTTACTTGACATGGTTGCCATACACCAGTCTTTTAATACTGACTGGTGAAAAGTATTGTTCTATTTATGATGAAATTTTTAAAAAGAATGCAAGTTCATGCATGACATAACATTCCACAAACATGTAATGGTAAATAGTTCACGGATTCACTGAAGTGTCCTTAGCAGGTTTTAGTTTTAACACAGTGACCACTGCACACTCTTTATGACAGGTGATGTTAAACATCTGCTCACCTGTATTGGATTTTAGTCTCTCACTGGAAACTGTCTGACCAATAAGGTCATACTGCAGCAAACTGGATGATTCTTGTGGCACTTCAACAGATGACAGAGGACCTTTCTTCCATGTGTACACAATTTCACTGATGGGGTAAGCATCTAGACAGCATGGATAAAAAGGGCGATTAAAAATGAAAACTTTCAAAAATTCACACACACATACACACATATGTATGGCATTTCAAATTAAGATCTTTGACGATATCTTGTCAGTCATCTGCTCAGTGACAGAGTAATCAGTGATTGAAAGTGACACCATCTGTCGGGTGAGTAAGGCTGAAAAAAAACTAACTCACAACTCCCAAACTTAAGTGGGCAGGCATGGCCGTCCATGGGGAAGTTCATCAGACGCATGGGGCACTCTGCATTTATAGTTAATCTGTAGGAATAGAAAACAGTTTAATTAAGTGTATGATTTATATTTCATACTAGCTTTATAAACACTGCTCTTTCAAGCTGGGTCTGGTGTGGTGCCATTCAGCATTATAGCAAAAAAACAAGTACAGAATATAGGATTATACAATATTTTTGGTAACATAGATGACCTAAAACCTGCAAGACCATTTCACTGCGGTGAACACACAACTTGGCGAAGGACAACCGTGGATAACACATTTCACAAAGGATGTTTTTATTTATTTATTTATTTTTAATGGCAGAAGAAGAATCCCATGTTTGTTGTCTGCTCATAAGTAAAACATATACTTACATATTTTCATAACTTATTTATAACTTATTTTTAATAACAACTTAATGTTATTTTCTATTTGTATTTATTTTATTTTATTTATTTGTTTATTTACTTGTAAAACACATTTGATTCTTTGGAATTATTCAAGTTATAAAATTCACAGAACACAACATCTTAATAATATCCTTAGTTGTTAAAACATTTCCAGTGATATTATATTGGTTTTATTGTTAATGTAATAAATGACTTAGGTTATTCAGTTCTACAATGTTGTTATAATATTCTTGTTTACCAGAGTGACAGTTTATACAAGAACTCACAGCTAATAAGCAGCTCAGAGCTTTGAGGAAATTTCTCAGGCTCACAGACGAAGGGGGGGAAACTGATCCCAAATGAAATGATTCAAGTTAAACTACTTTAAAAACAAAAAACAAAAAAAAAACAACTTTAAGATGAAGTAATTCAGAAAAAGTTTAGATCTTTTACCCAAAGCTAACACAAGGACAAAATTCAAGCTGAGACTGTAGAAACTGCATCATTATACTCACAAAACTACAGTTAGCTTATCTGTTATTTAAACATCTATTGCCTTCGAATGTATTTTCTTTTCAGCCAGTGAACCAATAAATGTAGCACTACTTCATATATGTAAAAAAAAAAAAAACAATAAAAAAACAAACAAGTTGGTTTGTGTCTGCCATCTTGTCTATAGCCCCCCACCCCACCCTCATAAAATCTGTAATGTAGACAAAGGTGGCATCCCTTTATTGTAATATAGTTTACAAATTTTCTTAGATAAAGCCTTTTTATTTACTTTTAAATGTTTTAGAGTTCATCCACTTAGATAATCTAATTAAAAACAAAAAAATCTGTTTTTGTGCCATTATTGACTCTAGGGGCTTTTTTTTTCATTCTGCATATCTCCTTTTGGAACAAAGCTGGAGTCATGTTTGTTTGAATCACTTTCCAGGGCTGTTTTCAGTATCAGATGGCACATATCTTGTTTTTGGAATGGCACGCTGTTTCTTTTCATGTCTGTGCATATTCTTGGATGCCTGTTCATCTAATTTGTTTTCCAGGTCTGTGCTCTATTCCGGTCTTGGCTAGGTTTGAATCTCACTGTCCAGCACTGTTACCTCATGGTGTAGAGGATAGTTCCGTTCTGCATGATGCGGAACAGCTTGTTGGGGGTAGTCATGTTGTGAGAGATCGACCTCTTGCCATTGCGGAAAAATGTGTCCGGTGTCCAGATCTTGCTGACCATCAAGTTGTTGAGCCGCAGGATCTCAATGGGGCCCTCAAATTTTAGTCGTTCGTCAATCCACGTCTGACGAAAGAACACATCCATGGTGTATTCCTGGATGGAGGTGAGAGCGTGGGTTACGAATGTATTTACTACTACTATGACCACTCCTACTGCTGGTGCTGCATCTACTATCTCCTGCCATTATTATCTGCTTCCCCCGGAGATAATGGCAGATGGGTTTGTGAGCCATGGTTTCGAAGGAACCTGCTGGATAGAGTATTGGCAATGTGATGAATTGTTTTCTCTTTCTCAGTCTCTTTTTCTTTCTGGAGGATTATGTTATTAATGCCAATACTGCCAAAACTAAAACCTTGTTTATGATGAAAACCCTCAAGACATAGCATATTGTACACTTTGGTCACCTTTACACACACACACGCACACATACACACACACACACGCACACATACACACACACACACATATATATATATATATATATATATATATATATATATATAGTTTTTCTTCAATTGTTGCAAATTTTACTTTTCTGTTTTCCATGTTTCATTCCCTACCAGCTCTGAAAGTTAAGTGAATTGATTGAGTAATTCATTATTAATACACAGTTAAAATAGACACAGTTTATTTCATCTGTAGAGTCAGCAGTAAGTCAGTATTATGAGTCTATCCAGCCTTTAGATCACATGGATGGCCTTGCTTCCCTTAAAAGCTTTACATACCCCTCTATAGAACTGCCCCTAGCATATCGCATGGCAGTTCTAGTAGGCTTTAGAGGCTGTGAAGCAGTATCTAAAGCTTAAGACCAAAGATAGTAGAGTACAACAGACATACATCACTCAGCCTATCCCGTGGCAGAAGTAGCCCGCCTATTCCATCCTAACACAGCCACATCGCTATGGCGGAGGGTGGGGGGGGTGGGGGGGATTGTCAACCAGATTAAAATCCTAAGCTGCACTAATGACATCCTGCCCAAATGTTGGAATAATGAATGCTGGGAGTAACATGAGTTGAGGTTGAAAGACCATATACATTGCAGTGAAATCTTGTTTTCACATGTACTTTGTTTACAATCAACCAAACACATGTATGTGAATAACATCCACACATTTTTCCTTGTGTATCCTGTATCAGTACTTCAGTGGTCGGCATAGTTGACATACCATCTCAACATCTGAAACAGGTCCAAAGCTGGTGACAAAGATGTCAGTTTTGACCTCTGTAACTGGACCTACAGCAGAAAGATAAGTGGTTGCTTTGATGCAGACAAAAATTTTGGACTAGCTTATTTGTTAATTTCTTAAAATATAAAGAGGTTAAGGAATAAAGTTATATGTATAAAATGTGCCATTTACAGACTTAAAATAACCACATCAGATAAAATGAACACACAACAAAACAGCATGCTTTAGATATGATAATTTTATGAAAAGTTTCTAATAGCAAACTTGTGATTTTATTATAATGTAAGAGGGGAAAGACGGCTAAGAGATAACGTAAACTAGATGAGATACACACAACTAGTTGAGTAAAACTTTATCCTTTAAGGAAGGATATGGATCTAATCATCATGAAGCAATATTATACAAAATACAGTATAATACGTCCATTAGCATACCTCCAAATCCAGGTCGCAGTCTGTTGTCATAGCCATCCAGTAATCTATCCAATATACGCGTGATGTTATCCAAATATATACTGGTCTCACTGTGCTGATTTCCCCAAACACTGCTAGCACTGTAACTAAAGTACATATGCACTGCTCAAAGCTCATTTCAACAGATAGAAAATCAGTTGAATATACTGAGTTTCTCAAAGGCACAAGCATCCACAGTCTGTGATTAAGATGCGTAAAAGTCCGAGAACATGCAGAGAAAAGAGTTGCCATACTCACCAAGACAAAAATAAGCAAGTTACAAGGAAAGCCATGCCTCGACACCTGACAACTAGAAATCCCAGGTCAACTTTTAAAATCAGCATATTCCATCATTTTCAAAGCTTGATAAAATGCGAGTCCGCTCTTGCTTTACTTGTAAACCGTGAGAGGATACCGCGCCAGTCCAGCACGACTTGACTTTCCCTCTAGTGCGGTTGCGCCCGCCTCAGCCTGAATCGCTCAGCTGGAAAAACCTGAAGAGTTTTTAAGAGAGTGAAGAGGAAGAACGACGCGAGCTTTAACGTTAACGGGACAAAGCAGTTTGCAGGGAATACATCGGTCTCGACGGCAACTTTGCTTTAGATCGGTTTGAAGGTTAAATAACGAAGAATGTCGTCCTTTATTTATTTATTTATTTGTGTTTTTAAAGACGATGGAAAAGAAAAGCGCGAAGAGAGATACAGAAGGGGAGGAGGGAGAAGTAGAGAAAGAGAGCTTGCACAAATACAATACTGTTATATCAATGGACAGTATAGCAAGGGACCTTTTTGAGTACAGATTGATTTCAAATTCATTTTTCTGTCTCTCTCTGTGTGTGTGTGTGTGTGTGTGTGTGTGTGTGTGTGTGTGTGTGTGTGTGTGTGTGTGTGTGTGTGTGTGTGTGTGTAATCGCGGGACTTTGTTCATGCAAAACCCGAAAACTGCAAGTAGAGCGAAAGCATGATTCATATAGTAGTTAGGTGGTTGAGTGGAGTGGGCGGTAGGTACATTTAGTGCACCTTCAAACTCCACAGACCCAGAACAAGGGGGGGAAACACCATACTGTAAAAGTCAGAACTGAGTTCACATGAATTTATTTCTGTTGCAAAAGCGCAGTTCAAGAAATTGCACCCTGCTAAGTGAGTTTCCACTAGCACATTTTGTGCAAGGTGTATGGAAGAAAGAAAAATATCGGAAAAGTAAACCCTGCAAATGAAGTGCAAAAGCAAAATTTATCACTCTATTTATTTATTTATTATTCATCTAGGTTTGTGCAAAAAAAGTCAAAGACAGTATTGTGTGGGAGGAATAGTTACTGTACCACCACTATGTGGAAAAAATGCTAATTATAACTCATATGCAATAATCATAAACTGATTTTTTCTCTTGAAAACAGAACAACTTTAAGAGAAAAAAAAAGTGAAAGCCAATATTCACTGACGAATGCCAGCAAGCCTCTGTAAGGTTATATGCTCAGTGATCAATGAACTACAATACTTTCTTCCAGTGCACCATTACTTTTTCATTAGAGGTATCATATCATAAGTGATATCATAGTGATTCCATCAATAATTCATATGAGGGATACAAATATAGGAAATTCTTCTAAAGGCATTAAATTGTGAAGACTGATTATGCAACTGTGGTCTCTTTGTACTCAAAGCTGAAGTTATATAATGATCTCAAAATATTGTTTAAATCATATGGAAACGATCACTTTCAGTTCAAGCATATTCAGATTTGATTCTTTTAAAAGAAAACTGGATATTGCTGTAATTTGTCTGATAAATTGAAGTTATTCTCTTGGTTTTCTCTTTAAAATGGTAAATGGCCTGTATTTATATAGCGCTTTACTAGTCCCTAAGGACCCCAAAGCGCTTTACATATCCAGTCATCCACCCATTCACACACACATTCACACAGTGGTTATGGCAAGCTACATTGTAGCCACAGCCACCCTGGGGCGCACTGACAGAGGCAAGGCTGCCGGACACTGGCGCCACCGGGCCCTCTGACCACCACCAGTAGGCAACGGGTGAAGTGTCTTGCCCAAGGACACAACGACCGAGACTGTCCAAGCTGGGGCTCGAACTGGCAACCTTCCGATTACAAGGCGAACTCCCAACTCTTGAGCCACGATCGCCCAATCTTGTATTGTTAGACATATCATCAAAGTAAAAATCGAAAGTTTAAGAAAGAGTTTGGTGAACATTTATAATTCTTTAAAGAAATATCCTGTATTCTGCATTATTAGAAGAACATGGAGGGCATAATTTCACTTTGCATACTGGATGATAAAACTAAGATTTGATATTTCAAAATAGAACACAGCATTTGTTAGAGGTATGGGAGCAGAAGCTTTAACACTACTTTATACAACACGAGTATTGTGGTGAGAGCAGTGGCCATCCTAGAAGTGGTGGGTACAATTGCAACAGTGGCAATAGTAGGAAATACAGACCAGGCATATACTGAGGTAGTACTGTATTAGAAGCAATTGCAGTGGCAGTTTCAGTTTCTCTGTTGACTTGCTGGTACATAATGTTATCTGACCCTAATGCCGCGATCAACTTGATCTTTTAAAGCATGAGGTCAACTCATCTGACCAACCACAGTGCACTGACCATGAAAGGCTTCTGACCTGATTTGCATTGCTGGCACTAGCTGAGATTTTGGATGAGCCACAGCAAAAGCGAACACATTCTATTCCTCCCTGCTGTGAATGTGCTAAACATGCTTTGTAAAGCTTCTGATATCTCAGAAAAGCAGTCACAAGTGTACGCACATAAATACTTGTGATGCAGACAAGGGCCATCACTATTTAAGCCACCTCTGCAATTTGGTTGCTTTAAGTAGTACTGGACGCACCACACATTTAGTAGATCACTGTTTTTTTAAGCATGCCACCACTTATAAGAATATTTAACATTTACAAAAATTAGCACTTCTGAAAAGAGAAGGATCTGAAGCTACATGATGTTGTTTGTGTGGGAGAAGATTGGCTTGACCCAAATCAGAGACTGACATACACTTTTGAATATATCTGTAACTTGTCTGCCTGTTTGCTCACCTAATTTCCTTCCATCATAGCATTTTTTTCCTAGACAGACAAGTTGCTGCCTGGATAATTACCTGACTGGATAGCTGATTGATAGAACGATGCGCTTGCTAGTTCGACGTTTTGCCTAAATAGCATAATGACTGACTTATAGACAGATATTAAAATGCTGACTGGATCATTGCCTGCCTGGAGACTACATCTAGAAGTGCACTCTGTCAGTCCTCCAACCAAACATTCACAATCAGTGGTGCAGCGAGTAGAGAAACAGATGGTTAGGCTGGCTAAATTGGGAGCCGTCTAAATCCATATTGTTATATGAACAGCCAGCAGAGATAAAATTCAGCTATGGCAACTCCTTACATCAGTTTTATTGATTGTCCTGGCATGGTGATCGTGATCTTACATGTTAGTCGCAATTCTGTCTTCCCAATTTATAATTTCTTTGTAACCGGTCACTACATTCTAAAGCCCATGTCAAGAGAACAATTGCAATTAATGAGAGGTCATTATATCTAACAGAGCATATTTCCATAAAATATAATCACTAAACCATTCATTAGTCTTAAGTTCTGAACTGAGATGAAAAAGGCACAGTGATTCTGATGGATTGCAATTAGGTATGCTTCGTTCCATGAGAACAATACACCTCGTATGCCAGGATGAATAGCAATTCAATTATGTCAATTTAGGAAGTACAATTACTTCGGGAAGATAACGGGACATACTTGAAAATCCAATGTGTTTTGATGAAGGAGGAAAAAGCCTTCAGAAGGAGTTTGTTAATTAGTTCATTATTCAACAAAACAGGATTTAATTAAACATGTCATGATATGCACTCTGTACTTGAACACATATAGCAGCCTCTCAAGGAGCAAGATGCAGAGCTAGGAGATTATTGCAAGAAACTTTTCACAACTTGCTGACCTTTTTGAGGGAGGAGGAACTTTCAGATGGTAGAACTGGAGTGTGTATGTGTGTGTTAAGCTGTATGTTCAATAAAATTCTTTTTAAAGAGACTGAAATTGGTGTGAGGAAGCACGCTACACTGTAGATAAACAGAAAGAAAAACAGATGAGAGAAGATTTGAAGATATCCGCTCTTGTGCATCTGTCCTTCAGCACCATGGACAGCTCTGACAGGCGACTTGGTTCTATTTTGCCAAAGAAAAATACAATAAGAATTCAAAGTCACTGCTGACAAACTTGCACACCATACTCCACAGTCCCTCTTACGGTGCCTGTGATTAGTCAAAAAAAAAAGTGCATTGTCTAAACTCGTTTCTGGCCGCATCACAGTGCTTCTATAAATAAATGATTTTTCCCACGTGAGATGGACCCACTGTACTTCATGTGCCTCACAATGCAGTATCTATGGTAACCACTTACAGTAGAAGAAACTCAGCATGTGTGGTGTAATGTGGATGCGTGTTTGGAGATGGCATGAACTAAATGTGCTCAAGAACAGTGAACAATTTTAGGTCAGTGCTTCTAAAAGTAATTTTTGGATGACTTTAGGGTTAACGTCAGGATCAAGTTTTATTAAGTGACTGATATGTTTCAGTACGTGGTGGTATAAAGGAGTTGGAATTTGTATTTCAAAGTGCTATTTAGAGTTTAGTATTAGGTTGTTGTAGGGGGACTAGTGGTAGAGGTTATAAAATCATTTTGTGTATCTGAATTTTGTTTTTCCGCTCGTCTGTAGGTTAATGGCTAGAAATATACAGTTAGTGCTTGCGAGTGTTCCTCCATCAATAATGCCGTTGCATAACACCTACATTAAATTCAGTCTTTGAAATCTTTGGGACTTGGCCTGGTTTTATCTTTTTTTTCCCGTCAGCCCCCGTAGTCACACATCCATAACAGCGCACACAAAGCAGTAGTTCTTTAAAATCGCTGTTCCTTACACATGATGTGCTGCACCAGTTCCTGTGGTTTTCAACATTAGGAAGAAATTTCCATTGCAGTTTCCATGGAGACCAAACCATATCATAGTACGATAAAATGTTGATTTGGAGAAAACAGTTGTCCTCGCTGCCTCAGTTGACCTCTTGCCTGACTACAGCCAAAAGCTTCACAATGAACTGTGCTGGATAGCTGCCAACGTCCTGCTGTAAGGAGAGTGGAAATAAAAGTGGTGCAACAAAACAGAAAGCCACAGAATACATAATAGGAAATAATAATATTTATATGTATGATGTGAAAGTTAAATGTTTTGCTCTGCAGATGCTGGTTTAATTATGAAACAGAAATTATTTGATTGCTGACATTCTGGAATCTTGTCATGCGTATGGTATTCCTTATTTTCCATATGCAAGAATAAAGAGTTGATATTCAGTCTCCATGGGAAGAAAAAAAGTCAATGTCAAGTTAAAGTCAGTGTGCTTGCAGAGGCAGTGCCTTCATAAATCTGCGACCTGAGTTGATTAAACTTGATTGAATCAAATTATTTGAAGAAAAGACGCAGAAAAAATAAAAAAAATTTCAAATGGCATTTTGATTATATATTGACAATCTTTCTCATACTTTTTATCACTGGTCTGCTTGTTAAGTTTGTCCTTGAAATTGA